ATAAATCCATCTCAGTCTTTTAATACTTATCTATCTATCTATCTATCTATCTATCTTAGTGTTTTTTATATGTATCAATCTATCTCAGTCTTCCCATATCTATCTATCTATCTATCTATCTATCTATCTATCTATCTATCTATCTATGTGTGTTTATGTTGCTTGCAATAAAGTGAAAATAATGAGAGGGAAAGATATATTTTTGTAATGTGGAGAGAAGGACTCTGCACCATGCCACATAAGTAGAAGCCAGTCATGGCTGTCATACAATTTCTGCGATCACATCACACCTTACATCTGGCCACCTAACTCCCCAGACTGCAAACCCCCTTGATTATTAGTTGTGGGGCACACCAACAAAAACTCCAAACTGAAGGCAAAGATTATGGCAGCATTCGCCAACTAAAACAAGGAGACTGCCCAGAAGAGTTGCAGGACAGAGAGAAACTAACTTAGATGCACATTAATATAATAATAATAATAATAATAATAATAATAATAATAATAATAATAATTTCAACATCCTTAACCCTAGAACACTAACCATCAATTAAAGTTACTCCACTACTAACCATGGGTATATTATACCCGATTTTCAAAATAATTAAAATTACCAGTAACATATTTCACAGGAACATAAAGTTTTGTTATTAACCCTAGAACACTAACAATCAATTAAAGTTTCACCACTACTTACCATGGGTATATTATACCCAATTTTGAAAATATCAAAAAAAAATATTAAATATAAATCTTTATTTGAAATATTTTACATGCACGCACTTCAAACTTTGTACTTTGAGTTAATGTTAATAGGAACTGAAAAACATATTATCTAAGTAAGAAAATCAGGTACTGAAAATTGTAATTAAAAATAGGAAAATTTGCTCTGGGTACTATATACCCATGGTTAGTATTCTAGGGTTAACTGGGCCACAGCTGACATTAAGCGAATGGACGCCAAAACGAGAAAACTTCTCACTTGCCACCGCATGCATCATCCGAAAGCTGATGTTGATCGTCTGTATGTGCCCAGATCCGAAGGAGGCAGAGGATTAGTTCAACTAGAAGTATTTTACAAAACTATAACAATTGGTCTTCAAAGATACCTGGAAACTACAAATGTCTCTTTAGTATTTGAAGATATTTTTGTGTAATTTTGGTAAATATATCTGTTAAAATGAGATGTCAGTGTTATTTTCATTTTGGCATCATTTAGACAACAATTTATCCATCGCACCCTGTATAATGAAATACGAAAAGTAAAAGTGGGAGACGTAATTTGCTAATTATAGAGAAAAGCCATAGTAATGTTTTCAATGAAGAGAGCAAAAAGTGAAAGAGAGAGTGAGAGAGTGATAGAGAGAGAGAGAGAGAGAGAGAGAGAGATGTTTGAAGATATGAAGAAAGATAAGAGAGAGGGAAAAATAGATATAGTCTGCAATAAACAGTGACGAGTAACCGAAAGATTGTTTGTAATGAAGGGGAGAAGGTTAGAGATAAAAAGAAAGATAAAGAGAGAGAGGGAGAATCAGAGAAAAATAGTGAGAGAAACAGAGAGAGAGAGAGAGAGAGAGAAACGGATAAAGAGACAAAGGAAACTATAAATAGAGAAACAGAGAGAGTGAGAAAAACAGAGAAGGAGACGAAATAAGAAAAGCGAGAGTGAAAAAAAAGAGAGAGAGAGAAAGTAAGAAACAAAGAGAGAAAAAGAAATAGGAAAAGAAAGAGAGAAAAAGTGAGAGAAAACAGAGGAGATAAAAAGAAATAAAGAAAGTAAAAGAGAAAGAGAGAAAAATAGTGAGAGTGAGTGAGAGAGAGAAATGAGAGAAAAGAGAGAGGGAGATAAAATGAGAAAAACAGATGAAGAAACAAAAATAGGAAAAGAAAAAGAGAGTAATAGAGATAGTGAGAGAGAAACAGAGAAGGCGATAAACAGAAATAGAAAGAGAAAAGGAACCACAGAGAGAGAGAGAGAGAGAGAGAGAGAGAGAAAGAGAAAATCAGAGAAAAATAGTGTAAGAAAAAGATATATATAGAGAGAAAGAGAGAGTGAGAAAAGACAGAAATAAAAGAAAAACAGAGAGAGAGAGAGAGAGAGAGAGAGAAAAAAACAGAGAGACATAGAAAATGAGACAAACAAAGATAAAGGGAAATAGAGAATGAGAGAAAAAGGAACAGAGAGAGATAGATAGATAGATAGATAGATAGATAGATAGATAGAGAGAGAGAGAGAATAAGAGAAGCAACAAAAGAGAAACAGAGAGTTAGAGACAGGGAGGAAAAAAAAAGAAAGAAAGTGAGAGAGTGCGATGATGATGATGAAGAAAGCAAGAAACGAGAGAGAGAGAGAAAGAAAGAGAGAGAGAGAGAGAGAGAGAGAGAGAGAGAGAGAGAGAGAGAGAGAGAGAGTGAAAAGAAAAGGGGGATAATTTGTATCCGGGTTGAAATTACCAGAGGTAAGTTTCAAGAAATGTTGAAAGTTGCCAGGTTGAGCCATTAATAGTTATAAAAGGAAATAGACCATTGTTTCAAACTTCTAAACAAAGGATTTTATCTACCCTCAAGGTTAAGTTTACTGTGGGTCATGTCATTCCAGAAATCGTTCATCTCCCTTAGCATTTCCCTTTTTGGTCATTGAAAAGATCAGAGATTAATACTGACCTTAACCCTTTTGGCATGATAGAGAGGTACTGCCTGGGGCAAAATGGCACTTTAGAAATTGGACGTTAGATTTTGGGGGCTTTAGAACCAAAGTGTCACCACACAAATAATAACTCCCCATCCTCGATATCTAAACAGAAAGTAAATATTCAATTCAGTACCATAGATGTACTTGTCAGTCGTCTTCACTTTAATCCAGTGTTTCTCAACTTGTACGCTCTGGCAGAGTAATGTGCCCTGAAAGGTAGCCAAGTGTGCACCAAGTTAACAGAAGAGTAATTTATTAATTATTTTTATATCTAAAAAAAAAAAAATTCTTTTTAAAAATCTACAAACACCAAGCACATAGCTTTCTTGTGTAAGTCACGTCATTTGATATTTTAAACTGGATGCTAAATTCCTTAATCTTTAAGAAGGAGTGGATAATCATTGCCTTCCTCTACGGAATTAAATTAGTCATCATCGGCCTTTCTAAAAAGAAAAATAGCATGTTCTTCATAAATCCATTTAAACCCTTGTGCAAATAATTCCGTTATTATTTACATTTTTTCTCGTATTTTTCCAATGAAACATGACGCAGTCCACATATCAATATTTCGTATGTCCATTCCACGAAGTCGTTTCTTGCAAATTGACCACAAATTCTCGATTGGCTGAGATGGAACAAATACATTGAGTCAATTGTTTCGTCCACCGCAAGGAAAGTTGGCTCCCTGTGCCGCGCCAGGAAATTTTTCTCCCCGGAATCGATCCTCTAGATCTACAAATCAACAATTCGCCCTTGCATGGAGTATTGCTGCCATATATGATCTGGAGCCCCTTCTGTTTGCCTCGGGGTTCTTGATAAGCTCCAGAGGCGGATATGCAATATAATTGGCCCTGCTCTGGCATCTCGTCTACAGTCGCTTTCTCACAGATGCGCCGTCGCCTCTCTCTGTCTTTTTTACAAATACTTTCATGGCAATTGCTCCGAGGAGCTGCATTCGCTGGTTCCTAGACTTCATGAGTTCAAGCGCCCTACGAGGCTGGCATCCCGCTCTCACCCTTTCACTGTCGAAACTCTCAAATGTAGCCGTCTCTTCTACTCCAATAGCTTCATGTCTCGCACCTCTCGCATGTGGAACTTCCTCTCCTCTTCCTGTTTCCCAGAGAGCTATAATCTCCAACTATTCAAATGTAATGTCAATCAATATCTCCAGTTGTCTTGATCTATCCACTATCCTTCTCCTCATCGTTTATCACTCCTATCTGATCTTGCTCCAAATCTTAATCTGTAACCCCTTGCGTCTTAGTGGCTTCTCGCTTTGCTTGGGGTGAAACGCTTAAAAAAAATCAGGAGAGTTTCCGGGCCAGTCTTTAGTAATTTAATTTGCTCACTAGTAAGGCTTGCCAGCGCGTTCGTGGAGCGTTACAATTTTCCTACGCTTTCTTGAAGTAACGTCCATCGCAGACAATGACCGTAGGACAACTAATCGACAATCGAGATATTAGTGTCTGGGCATGATAAAAATCTGATGCAGTCACGGATGACGCAATATTATTCAAGGCCAAACAAATTTCATCATACACCCTGAAAATACATTCATATTACTGCACACCACTGCAAATGACCTAATCTGAGGAAAGAAATAGAAATCGATTACGCCCTATCACTCCCAGGGGGTCCGAAACTGGCCGTATCCTCAATATATTTATTCAGATGTTTACATCTCAAATGATATCAATTTTTTTGACAAACACTGTATTGCAACATTAATATTTAGAAAGGCTTGTGAAAATTTCATGGTTTTCCTATTTAAATTTTCTGATGAATTATAATTCTTAAATTAATAATTGAATAAGCTTCCTGTGAGTTTGACGACAATCAAATACCCATGGAAATTCCTCTGTTGTATAATAAAATATTTGAGCTTAACAACTTTAACAAAATTATTACAATTATAATCACAAATATGAAGTAGGTCATTATTTAAAGAAGTAAGAGGGTACAAATAAAAAGATTAAAAACTGACAAGGTTTTCAATTTTACGGAAGCAGATATTAAATACATGAGTGTTATCACTTCCTCTATCTTCCTTGTTTTTTTCTTTCTTTATTTCTTTCTGTTTTTTCTTTCTTCCTTCATTTATTCAATCATTTTTTTTCTTTCTTTCATTAATTCATTCTTTCTATACCTAAAAACCAAACATTGTCTTTAATATATCTTTTCTTCTGTATTTGATCGCATTCAAACAGTCCATCTGGGGTATTTGCTGGTTGAGTAACTTTAGCAAAATATTACAGTATTAAGTATGAATGCCTGTCATTATCTGCAGAAGTAAGAGGATACAAATAAAAAGATTAAAAACTGACAAGGTTTTCAATTTTATTAAATAAATGAGTGCGTTATCACCTCCATCGTTCCTTTCTTTCTTTCTTTCTTTCTTTCTTTCTTTCTTTCTTTCTTTCCCTAAAAAACAAGCAGCACCTTTGATATAAGCAGGAATGGTCCATTGTTTATCTGAGACAAAGACAGGGCGTAGCGCACGCGCTAAGTAACTAAGGATACAAATAAAAAGATTAAAAACTGACAAGGTTTTCAATTGTATTAAATAAATGAGAGTGTTATCACCTCCTCTATGTTTTCTTTCTTTCTTAAAAAACAAACAGCGCCTTTGATATAACTTTTCTTCCGTTTATCCACGCAAACAAACAGGAATGGTCTCTTATTTATCTGAGGCAATGGCAGGGCGTAACGCACGTGCTAGCTAACTAAGGAACAAGCAGAATTAGAATGTGTATATGAAATAATGTTTGCGTAAATGTTTGTAAAAATTTATTTGTTTCTGGCCAAGAAAGGCGATAACGCCACTGCCACGCACGCGAGTTCCTGGGATTGAAAGAAGATGAGAAACGTTAGTATGAAGAAAATACAATAAAAGGACATGGTTCAGGAAGACAGAAGATGGCGACTGGTGTTGCGTTTAAACTTTTAAAGATCACAGGTAATGGGAAAGCAAGACACCAGGAGAAAGTTCCACAAGCGAAAAGTGCGAGAAAAGAACCTATTACGGTTATATCGTTATTTCAACAGTAAACTATGAGACCTAATTACCATTCTAGTAGTAAGTTTAAATTTATGCAGCCGAGGTAGTAAGGAGGAAAGAACAGTTGCCATGAAGCCTAGATATATAACAAGAGGACCAGGAGCATTAGGCCACGTGTGGCAGCAATGCTCTATGCACAGACGAATGGTAGATTTATAAGCGTGCAAGATGGATTCTGGCGGGACAGAGAGAAACCAACTTTGATGCACATTAATATAATAATAATAATAATAATAATAATAATAATAATATAATAATAATAATAATAATAATAATAATAATTTCAACATCCTTAACCCTAGAACACTAACCAATTAAAGTTACTCCACTAATAACCATGGGTATATCATACCCGATTTTCAAAATTTCAAAAAAAAATATTAAATATAAATCTTTATTTGAAATATTTTACATGCAGGCACTTCAAACTTTGTAATTCGACTTAACATTAATAGGAACTGAAAAACACATTATCTAGGTAAGAAAATCAGGTACTGAAAATTGTAATTAAAAATAGGAAAATTTGCTCTGGGTACTATATACCCATGGTTAGTATTCTAGGGTTAACTGGGCCACAGCTGACATTAAGCGAATGGACGCCAAAACGAGAAATCTTCTCACTTGCCACCGCATGCATCATCCGAAAGCTGATGTTGATCGTCTGTATGTGCCCAGATCCGAAGGAGGCAGAGGATTAGTTCAACTAGAACTGTTTTACAAAACTATAACAATTGGTCTTCAAAGATACCTGGAAACTACAGATGACTGGATGGTGATATGTGTCAAAGAACATGAAAGTAGTAAGCGACTTTAATAAAGGAATCCAGCAAGTCCAAAATGGAGTTTCAAATGGGTGTAGAAATACAAATAAAACACAATACACAGACTGCAGCTACAAAATACTTTAAAAGGAAAGCAAAGGCGAATGCAACCGACCAGATGCAGAAACGATGATAAGATCCATGGTCAATACTCTGCCCGTACCAAACAAGCTGATGTAGACAAAACCCGTTAACCATCAGTGGCTACGCAGTGCAGGGTTAAAATATGAAACCGAAGTTTTTATTCTTGCTGCACAGAATCAATGCTTGCTAACTAGAAATTACCAAGCACACATACTGAAAAATTGTGTTAACCCACAGTGCAGATTCTGTGATAAATATCCAGAAACAATTGACCATCTTGTATCAGGTTGCACGGTACTGTCACCCGCTGAATATAAAACACGGCATGACAGAATTGGCCAATATCTGCACTGGAAAATGTGCAATTTGTATGGAAAGGAAACTGAAATAAATTAGTATGAACACCACCCAAACCCGGTTACGGAGAGAGAACCTGTAACAAATTTATGGGACTACACAATACACACAGGCAAAACAATCAAAGCTAATCGACCAGACATTCATTAGACAGTAATGACAAAATTTACCTTTTTATTGAAATGGCATTTCTTGAAGGGTGCTATGTATCTTTGAAGATCTTCAAAAAACTATCAAAATACAAAGACCTTGAAATCGAAATCTAAAAAAATGTGGCGTATAAGGACATTAACAATTCCATTTGTAGTTGGAGCCCTCGGATTGATTGGAAAACAGACTTATTGGAGGTATTCCTGGCAGCCCATGCCTTAAATAAATATAAAAAATTGTACTCACAAGTACAACCCACACCTTACGAATGGCATTATCTTTGTAAAATGTGATTTTTTATTAAACTGCTCAGTGGATTAAACTGCTCAGTCATGATG